TGCCCCACATCCCTCTTGGCAACTGCCATTTTCGTAGCATGAATATGACAATCTGGATGACGCTTCAAACATTGAAACGTCAGCTGTTAGACTGCAGGGAATCGTATGGTCGCGCGGGATCAAGGAATCTGTGAAAACCAAGAACATCCAAGGCACGTACCCAGAGAACGCCGCATTCTTTGCCAGGCCAGCACACGACTTCAACGCGAGAATTAGTGATGCCACTGATAACGAAATCCGTGGATAGCGAAGATGTTAAGTGGCAGAGAATGTTCAAACTAGTATTGCCCCCCTCCCATTCGTGCCTATGTTCTCTTTCGTTTCCGTAAATGGACCCATGACACATCCGTGTAAAGCCTTCACGAAAATCTGAATTTCATTGAATTTTGTTCATGTTTGGTTGTCTTATCGATTATTTCTCGATCTTTCGTGTAACTCGTGACGAACGATTTTGTACGTTACAATATCACAATAAATGCCAGTCGAGCATGGATCGTCCCATCCCTTCATCCTTCTTTACCACCCTTGAAACCTGTCGACTTCTTTCAGTTTCCATCTTCTTCCGACCGTCGATCCTCTAAACTCTAGAGGATAAATCCGCCAGATAGATCCGAAAGAAACGGAAAGAAGCGTACACCTGTGAACCAGAAACGTGGATAAAATTCTCCTAACCGCTCATGATCCCGTTTTTCGAAACGATCCAAGTTCTCGTTTGGCTCTTATAATTAGAAACTATTAGCTATATTTCTCATCTTAAAGTCACGAAGGTGGATTACGACACGTTGCTGGACGTACTCGAAAGTTCCTAAATAATATATATCTTTCTCTTTTGTCCTTGTAGCGGAAAACGCATTACCCCCCTCCCCGCCGCCTAATCATAATCGCGCAGCGCTTTAGAGCGTTTCTCTGTTATTTTTTTCCTTCTTATACGCTGTTCCACTAAAAACATTACCGATAAATTAAATGTAGTAACACTTGGAGAGTATATGGGGTTGTGATATATTCCCCCCTCCTCACGTCCCATCGATTTCTCAACGCGCTGAGAGAGAAGAAAATTGGTATTTCGTTCCTTTTGCTTTCGATAATTAACATTCAGCGAGTATATACGTCTTTCTCTCTCGTGTTACCCCTTGAAAGAAACTATATTCATCGATACTTGCACGTTCTTAAATTAGCACATCTTATAGTTTATCATATAGATATAATATATAATATACATACATATATATATATACATACATATGTATATATATATATATATAAATGTTCATCAGTTACCAATTAAAAATTAGTAGTACCTATAGGGTCATCATCACAGCTAATTTCTTATCCTTCTTTTTCAATAAACATTATCAATTGGTTGATTATTTCGCTTTGTAACTCGTGCCCAACAGCGTCACATATCCCTGCTCCCCTCTTTCTCTTTCTCCCACCCATAAACACCTTCGATACATTGTCTGCATACTGCTACGTGCCTCGAAAAGATAGGACTACTCAACCTTCAACCGTCTTTTATGTCTCCTTCTTGTCTTCTCCAATGCTTATTTACGTTTACATGTATGTATGCATGTACGTATGTACTTATATATACATACATATATACTGACTATTTTTCGCTCCTCCGCGAGACCCGAGCAGATAAAATACGCTTATATTGCTGCACTTTCGAAGTATCGAATCCTCCTACAGCCAACGTTCTCGATCGGAACGGAACAAAACGCCGTTGCCACCGAGACACACACCATACGCCTTCTATATTTCGTCATCGGCTCTTTACTATACTCGTATGTATGTACATATACATAATTTACGTGCCCGTTCGATTTTGTTTCCCCCCCCCCTCTCTCTCTCTCTCTCTCTCTGGTTCGTATGTACACTAATTTTTATACAGGACATTTATACACACACGTGCTGCTTGAAAATTACACTCGTTTTTGTTTTCGTTTCGAACCCGTCAGTCTATCTCGTCCCATATTTACACAACACCGAAAAAGAAAAACTCGACGCATTGTACCCTGCGCGCGCGATAATTTCCCGTTTGCACGGTCTTTTTGCCTCAAGCTTTCCCTCCCTTTTTTCTGTTTCATTTTGGTTAATCGATTTCCCACAGGACGGCAGTGTTTTAATTCGTTTGCCTCGCGCGCCCGTTAAAACCGTCGGAATCACGGATTCGCACATTGCAAAATTCTTTCGACCGATTCCTGGCACACATTATTTACAAATTAAAGACTAACGGGTTTACACGATCATTCGCAAAGAATCGCTGGACAAATACTGAGACGCCTACGGGCTAAGAAGAGAAGAGATGCTTCTAACGAAAAGGTATAAGAAGAAGAATGTTTGCATGGATCTTCGAATTGAAGATTTTTTTCTCGAAACGAAACTCTCGATGAAACAAATAATTTTAATGTCGAAGGATGTCTGCGAGTCTACGAAGACGACCCCTTTTCCGTCGAGAGCAGAAAACTATTTTGCAATGGCCGCGTCATGATTGCGCTTATGCCGATGAAACTGTTTTGCTCTTATGCAAGATTCAAAACAAACCAACAGAAATATAGCGTTTTTTCGATCGTGAAGAATTTATCGGACTGGCAATGATCGATCCCCTCTTTCTCGAAAGAAATAGAAGTTCGAGGAAACCATGCGAATTTGATGGAAACGAAGTTTCTTACGAACAATCGAATCATGAAACCGAGAGGAACGAAGACGGATGTGCTTTCTTTTTCCTCATTAAGTTTTGTTCTCCTGATCTTTGGTACGAGCCACTGCACGGCACCGGCTATCGCGAAAGAAAAGGAGAACGAGAGAGGCTGAGAGACCGAGAGATCGTGTCCAATGAGAACCGGTTACCGATGAAAACCAATGAAATTCATGTCGAACTTTACATCAGAATTTCTATCAGTTATTTTGCGAGCACACACGGACAAGTAGCCCGAGCGAGGCTCTGAAAACAATTAAAAATTTCGTCAGCTACAAATATGGAGAAAGTAATCGAAAGTTTGAAATTACATGTTTCTGCTATCATTTTTTTTCTCTCTTTCTCTCTCACTCCCTTCCCCCACACATACGTACATACACATTCACACGCGCGAATACAATCTGATTTCTGAGATCTGCATATACATACACCAAAAAACTTATTTCGTAATTCGCCCTATAAACTAACTTACGAGAAAGAAATTAGAAGTATACTAAGGAAAGACATGAAACCAATGTAATTTAAAAAGAAAAGAAAAAATAAAGAAAAAAAAAATATTCATATAATTAATAATAAAGAAGAAAAATAACGTACTAGTTAAAACTCCGCTTCAAAGTAATTTGGTCAGTCGATATGTGTTTAAATGTGCTTTGGGTCAAGAAAAGCAAAGAGAAAAAAAAATAGGCAAGGAAATTAAAAACCATCATTGTCGCTTCCGTAATGCAGTGTCAAAATATACGTGCAAAATTATTGGAGAGAACATAAAATTAATTTTTAGACGCACAAGGAAAGCAAAAGTTTTTCTTTTGTTTTAGGTGTTAGCTATATCTGATAAGCAAAAAAAAAGATGTCCTAAACATCTCTATCTGATAGCAGATTAGAAAGAGTAATAGATACTGTTATCCAATGAAACTATAATTCTGATGTTGAGGGAGAAAGTCTTAGCAATAGCCTGATGACAAACTCCTTGTTATACCTAATACATTATGTAAAAATTAATTTTTAATTTGTCACGTGTAAGAATTTCTCATAAAAACTTTTCAATTTAAGCACAAACGTTGCTCAATCGTGAACCTTCTGAAAAAATTAATATTCATTCATCAACATTTACATCAGATCATTTTCTTCATCTTTATCATTCACTCAATCTCCTATCATTCCTCCATCAATCAATTATACGAATTTCGAAAAATTAATCCATCTGTATACACATTGGAAACTTGTCATTTAAACCTTACCATATCGCTTTGCACAAATATTGCAAAGCTGCAAAAAGAATAAGGATATCTCCAATAAAAAGAATAAGATAAATAGAAACAAAAATTTTCACTTGGAATAATCTGTAGGGATAATTTGATTATGCCTCTAAGATTCAATAAACTTATGGATTATACCGAAAATATTGAAACCTTAACAGAAACTGAGGACGACAAATTAATTATTCATTACAGTAAACTAGTCTGAGACATACTGAACCGATATCTAAGTTTATGCTAAAGAGCAGTAGATGAATATATGTGACACTTAAAGTTTAAACCCCTATTCATAAGTATAAAGTAATTCTTGACAAAAAAAAATAGTAGCATACATTCTATGACAAAACATGAAAGATTTGTTAGAATTATTTTCGAAAAAATCCCGGAAGTAAAAGAAAAGAATAAAACTATATTTCCATGACCAACAGTGCTAAAGTTGTAGCAATTTTGATTCATTAAGAAAAAAAAACGAACTATAGCTATCGTTTCTAAAAATAGCTAATGCAGCTTTGCCTGTGTCTTCGTACCATTTCGTCAAACAGATAATATAACAGTGTTTGTGTATATGTGTATGTGTATGCGTCTCTGCAAGTTAATCATATATAATAATAATCTAAAATACATACGTTTATATCTTCATAGACGGCGCATAATAGAATCGTTACAAGTTATCATATACTTGAATCACGGTTCGCGGTCGACGCACCTGCGTCATTATTCTTAATGTTTTTGTAATGCTTTGTATAATAGCTTAAAGAACAAATGATGGTTTGTTTTTTCACTCAGCATCCATACCGTGAATCTGAAGACACTGGTGCCCTGAACTAGTTGCATCTTACTCGTATCGTCTTTAGATTGTGTTATCGCGCAGTTATTCTTGTATGTAAACACTTCCTCCTCTTTCTTCTCAAATGATCAGCTTGATATATAACGTACAAGAGAAAAATACATCCTTAATTCAAGAGTGGAAACGATAATATCGTACCCGTCTCTCTCTTTTAGGAGCTGATAACCGTTTTTACCGGTTCCTCGTTGATCTTTGGGTATCAAGCTTGGACGTTTAATATCATCTTCAGATGATTTGAAATATCGCAACTCCTGTCTACTTGCTGACAACTGGACATCAGTCTCGTAGTCCAATGGCTCGGTGGTTTAGGAAGGCTCGCAGGAGATGGTGGTTCAGAAAACTTTGCACCCGCGTAAAAGCTGTTTGTTGGACTACCCCGAGGACTATAATCATACCGTAACAGTGAATTTCTTGTACTTTTGGACGAATAATGAGGGCTGCAGCTCAATCGACCAGTAGAATTTCTGCTGTAAGATCTTCCACCATTATGGAAGAACGTTGACGATTTGATTGCACTAGAGCGGTGGTGTCGCTCGACACCAACATTTGGTGAACCATGCCGCTCTACTTTGTTGTTCAATTTTGGTGCAGAATTCGTCATGGCTTCTTTATTGTAGTTTTGACTTTATCACTTACAAAGTAAGCCAACCCGTCTGCAAAACCACAGTAGATAGAATAAATAGAAAATTAATATACTTGACAAAATAACAAGTTGGCTGAGATTAAAGGCCATTGATAAAATAATGTGTGTGTTACATATTTACATTCACATTAAAAACATTGCATAATTCCTGATTCATGAAAACATTGTGAAATAAAGAAATAATACTATATTTTTATGTTAAAATGTCTTACTAAATATTTTTTTTATATATAAAATAATACATCAAAATTCGAATACTCGTAAATATATTAAAATATATATTAACCACCGCCGTACCACGTCTTAGTTTTTTCGAACCCAGAGCTCGGGGCTTGCCTTGACCGTTTGACACTTGATACCGTCTACCGTTTTTTTTTATGTTAGAGCAACGACAATAAATACAGAAACAAATATAGCAAATGTAATTACTGTGTAATAAAAATATGTATGATAAGATAATAGTAATAATAATGGTAATGATGATGATGATAATAACAAAATTTGAGTTCAAAATGTTTATATACATAAGGTCATAGATCCGTTTGGATCCAAACATGGGACTTCGCGTGAACGCCCAAGTGCCGGTATTACGAGGGTTAAAAGTCTGCATGGTAAAATTTGTTTAATTACCAGTAAAGTTATAAATTTCTCATTTCATTATATTTTATACTTTATTTAATTATTTACGAAAAATGATCTTATATTCTTTTCTTCTATTGATAACATATGTTTTGAGTATGTTTACTTATCTAATCCATCCATATACACATACCATACAGTTATCATTGCAAGTATAGTTTTCAAGTTCCGATTTTTATAAGATATGGGTATATTATCAATTGAAGAGCTATTAGGTCAAATCACACACACAAACAACTTTCATTTTATTTGAAATTTACTACCGTAAAGAACATCTAACATTATGACGCTAGTTTATTACATTAATTAGATAAATATTCATTACAATTAACTAACTTCGAACACTTTGTCAACAATTGAAAAGTTTGCGGCACCTAGGACAGAAGCTACTTCTGGTCGAGATCCGATATTGTATTGATGTCGCGTAAACCCCGGAAAAGGAGGCTACGCAATTAATTGAAATGATAAATGCAACAATACACACCGTATTGTGTCTGCGGGCCACTTTTTAAAGATGAGACCAAAAAGTTTGCGGTGGTGTTTGGGTTCAGTGATTTTTCTAACTGCGCAATAATCTCGGGATCCAGGGCAAAAGGGTAGGGGGAACGCGGAGGAATAAACTTGGTGGGGTACCCCACGAACCTCCTCTGTAAGCGCAATGCTACCTCGCCCCGCTTGCTTCGAGTTCTCTCGCAGTCCTCCCTATTCGTATTATTTGCGAATTTGACCACATTCGGTGACCGTTGGCCACCTTTTACACTTTTTCGCCCCACAAAAATGAAAACACACGCGTCGTCTAACTTCTCCCACTTCTTTTCAACGCAGCTGGAGAGGCGCAAGATGGCAGACACGATTTGTTTGTTTTCGGTGCCCTACACGGATCTTTCGCGCAACACGATCACCGTTCCCAACAGCGAAGCTTCTCTAATCGTCCTTTCACCACGCGCAAGCGCGCATACACATATATTCGCAGCGTGAAATTAACTTTGTATCGTAATACACCGCGTACGTGACTGTATATATGCACACGCACTAAATAACGTTCGTTCTACATATCATGCAAAAAAAACTTCGGAATATCCTTTTTCTGGGAACAATCACCCTTGATCTTTGCCACGTCGTTTTTCTCTCACTTTAACCTTTTTCCTCTCTACTGTGCCGACTCACACAACACACTCGCTAAAACCAGATACTGCGATCGGACTCGTAAACTACGTGAGCACGATCCTTTTCCAACACTGTCTCTTGCCTTTGAGAAAACGCAAGCCTATCTTAAGTGTTATGAACGATCCCTTCCACTTGGGCTCGACCAATGATCGACGATGTTTCGGCACATGTGACCTTTGCCGACGAATCACCGTGTTCCTTCGTCGGGTGTTTCCGACATCCTTCGTGGAATTTATTATATTTCCTTAAAAATCTTTTTATAAACATGATTTTGCAGTTTATGCTATATCACGAAGTTATCTAATTTTTTTATCACCCGTTTCCTCGTTTCAATGCGATACTCTTTAGTAAATCTTCGGCATGAATTGATATTGTGTATAACGATCGGAAGGTGGTGGGAAGCCGATTGGTGGGATGCAGTGAAGCACGACACCTCGTGATACTGGTCTGAATTTAAGGAATGGTTTTACACCCTTTATTATTTTCTTATCGGATTATCATTGTCAAAGGTGAATGTAAAATACTTGCATGCATGCACTCTATAATTTAAAATATACCCGTAAATAATAGTAGAAAGAGATGGAATACATAATGGGAATAATAAAAACATCCTGAGGTGATCGATCATATCTATTATGTTTCATTTTTACGTGCGCAGAATTTTTGAAAGTTGTGTCGGTTTGCATTCTTGTAGAGGAGGGAATACATTGACTCGAAGTGGATTTTATATTTGTTTTTAAGATTATATGGTAGGTAGGATCGGTCCCTTCACTGTCGGAAACAATGGTTTGCAGATACGGAGTCCAGACGCGGCTTAACAACCACTGGTTGAACCAAGTTTCCTGACATGAGGTATGTGATTCATCGCTGCTTTTCCATCGCCGGCATAAATCAAATGACTCATCAAGCTGAGAATAAGCAGTAACTGTATATCTTAGTGTTAATCCTGCTGTCCTAATTTTATGGTCCTAGTCCTACGGTCCTACGGTCCTACGGTAATTTTATAGTAATACGTCCTCCTAATATATCATTTCGGACTGTTCCGTGAAAACGTTTTTGTCCTCACCATTTTAAAGCGCATCCAGCACTGTGCAGTTGCTTTAGAAAAAGAACGAGAGATGATCGAGAGAGACAGAGTAAACCCAGCAGGTCTATGTCCAGTATCCACACAGACGAGATACCTGACCAATAAGATTTCATCATGTTTGCAGTCTCATTCTACTCGCGCATCCATCTGACTGACGCTCCATCTGGATCATTCAGCGCGACATTCAACTTGTACCGTTGCCTCGTAGGATTCTCGAGCAGTTAGTAAAATTTTCGAAAACCCGTTCGCTACATTTTAGACAATAGTTTCTAGTTTATGAATCAACAAAATTTTTTCAATTCAGACATCTTAGTATATGTCAACTATAACACCCAGCAATCAATGTTCTACTATATGAGAAGGGGTTTCACCTTTAAAAATTTGGAAAACAAATCTGAAACTTGCATTTATATTCTGTTAGAAATACTACATCTTTCATTTAGTAATTATCTACAAAAAAGTTCTTTTGAGGATCAGAGTCAACAATTATTAAAGAGTGAAAGAACCTGGAAAAAGATTAGAAAACTATATAAAATAATTCCAAAACGTGTTTAATTGAAATTTTGATCCGCAATCTACAACAAAACTGGGAGTACATATAAGGAAATGGCCGTGTTGTTTGTGGATCTGGGTTACATTGTTTGAATAAATACATGGAACAGTTCGTTCGAATAAATAGATGGAATCGTTTGTTCGAATAAGTAGATGGATTAATTTGTTCGGATAATGAATAATCGTTATTCGAATAAAATATTCGATGAAAAAGAATTTATTTGGACAATTATGTTATTTTATCAAATATTTATTTGAAACAATTCAAATAATGTCGAACTCTGACTCGAGCCCGCCAGGTCGGATGGTTCACAATCCAGGATCACGGGCCACGAAATGCGCAAGTATCGCGGTCGCGCCTCCTCCGTTACTGCTGGGGAGCACCCCAGGCCAGTTCGTGGGCTTGTTTCCGCTGGTTCTCGCCGTATTGAACCGGAAAGAGGACGGGCAGCACCGAGGTGTGCCGGTTATGGATTGAGGAGCGCCTCGGTACCCTGACTCCCGGTGGAGTCGTACGGCTTGACAGAGGGGCTCCTCTAAATCAAGTCGCGGTCACCGTGCTGAGCGTGGTCACCTCATGCTGCGATTCGTAGGGAGCACCCCTAAATTGCAGCTAGAACGTTCGCGTCGGGAGCACCCAAGAGAACCTGGTAAACTGGCGTAGCAGCTGGAGCGGATGGCAAGGAGCACCTTACTAGCTGACTCCCGGCGAATTTTGATAATCTATTTCTTTTTTTCAATGATAATCTTTTGTGGAGAGACCCGTTCCTGGTGGTACTGCTTACTGGGTAAGTGGAATTATCTGCAGAAGAAATTAAAAATATTAGTAAAATATCTTCGAGTTGCGGGAGAAAAAATGTTCAAAAAAATATTCCACAATGATATCCCAGCGAATTCTGCTAATCACCGCTATGATGTAGCGGTGATTCGCGCGGCCGTGCTCGTGGTTTCGTTTGCGCCCGCGTTCGCTGCTGATTGGCCGGTGGTGGTATCATCGTACTACGGTCCGATTGGTCGTCGCGCTGATGCGGTGTTTGTATTGTCGTCACCTTGATCGGTCGGCGCGGTGACGGTGACGTAGTGACAGTTTGTCATACATAGAAATCGACCTTTTAAAGTATCGATATTTGAAGCGATTTAATTTTTAGTATATTTACTTCTAATTTGAATGTACGTCATTCGATGTCTAGCGTTCGGCATATCGGATATTCTACGAGTATTCTTAAAAAAGGGATGACTGAGAATTGCGGTATTCGAATTCAAATAGTGTCTCTGAAATATTCAAATTCTGTTTTCGAGTCTTGACGCAGGATGACTCGTAAAAATCAAACTAGCACAGGAACTGAGGTAGAAGTAGTCTATGGAGACAAATGGTGGGGAAAATGACCTGTCTACCGTTCTCCCACCGCGGCGATCTTTTTAAACTTGTCGAGCTATACATGTGCATAGGCTGATGATGGAGCAACATGGTACGGGATGGAAGCGCTTGAGTATCACAAAGATAACAAAGAAATTCGGGCTCTTGAGTAATCGCGATGTTCACCGTGAGTCATTTTAATAAATGGAACTAAATAATATTGAACCTCGGATGGATTTCGTAATGGGAGATCCGTCGTCGACTTTTTTCTCCGTCGATATCGGTGCAGGACAGCGACAACGGTGACTATTGCGTGCGACAAGCAAGTGGTGCCGCCATTAAGCTACGGCGAGGTATCCGAAGTTCGCACGAGGGGCTTTGACGTCAGTGGCCAAGAACGCTGATAATCTTGCGACGCAGATATCGCTACGCGGAATATCAAACGATATCTACGGTGGTTTACGGACGGAATTAATCAGATATATGAACGCATTTGGTGGTTTATGGTTTAACATACGACCTCGAGAATATTAGCGGGCCCACAATGGGCGGGGTCGTGGCTTGGGTCGAGTGAGAGACATGGAGCGACCTCAGTGTTCTCAGTGGTGAGCTGCACGGCCATCGCCGACCGTCGGTTTCGCCTAGAGCAACCAACGTCATTCTGCTATGACATCGCTCTGAAAACCCCAGATTATCCCAGTAAAAAGGTAGGAGGTTTTCCCACCGAAATTTGGATGCGCGCTATATATCTCTCACTCTTTTTCTCGCTCTCTTTCTTTGTCTCTCTCTCTCTCTCTCTCTCTCTCTCTCTCTCTCTCTGACTGTCTCTCTCACTCGCTCTACCCTATCTACATTTCACCCTGACACGGTGTTGCGCTGTCCCCCAACACTTCCACCATCGCTTTCTACGTAGTACTTTCGAAAACGCAGTTTTTCTGCTGACTAAACTTGAAAATTTTTAGTCCTCCTTTATCTCCCCTTACTCGAAAGCTTCCTGCCTCCCCACCATACGTTTGTTTTCGTTTTCTTTTCTTCTACCTCTCTTTTTGTCTCCCACCCGTTCCACACTCATTTTGCCTACCCTTTTTCTTTGTCCCACTCGGTTCGCATACTCATTCTCCGCTTTCGTTATATACCACCTTTGATTTTTGATAAATGTCCTTCGTAAACAGTGGATGCACAGCGTGGCGATATGTTCCTTCCCTTCTTCCCTTCTTATACCATGCATACACGGGATGGTTTATTGGTACTGTTTGATTTGCACTGGTGCACCTGCGTTCTACCCTAGGGTTCTTTTTTTCGCTCTGATAACTGTCTCTCGCTGCCCTTTGTCCGTCGAGTACTTTATCCTCTATCACGCTCGCATCGAGATCGAAATCCGTGTATGACGGAAGCACATGTGTATGCGTAACACGGGTTTGTTTATATTCACTGTTTCATAATACGCTGGCGTCACTACTAATTTCATTGACCTAATGAAAAAGTAATACAAATAGGTTTGACAACGATGTTTCTGTGTGTTCTGTATATAGCTAACGAATTTTTCGACTTTTCGTTGTACAGTGTAAAAAAAAGACACGTTTAAAGCAAGCTTTATGATTTTAGTGACTTCGATATCGATTTCGTTGTGTTTCGTTGAGAAACAAATTAAGTAGGACGTTCCCTTTTGTTAGAAAGGACATCGGTGTTCGAGTTATTACGCATTAGATTTCACCGCTGCGTGAACAGTGTTTACAAATGGCATTAAAAGTTCGCACGCGTAATCCCGCAGGTACAAGTCGTAGGCGACAATCGCGATTTTCTTACCGCCCTATAAAGTCCGCACTCATAAATGCATAGAATTTTTCAAAAGTGGTTGGTAGTGGTGGCCTGCTCATGCATAAAAGTTGACAAACCCCCGTATAATGCTAATAGAAATCCTTTATCCGCAACTGTACTGTTTCATTCGCTATTGTACATAACAGATAACAACAGACCCGCTCTCAAATTATTAATAACGCCATTTTTGATCAAAGAAATGTTGAGAATTTTTTGTATACAATTTAACATTACCGAATGTTTTTATGCGATGTGAATAAGAGTTTTATGCGTCGTAGTCTCTCTTAAATATGAGCGAATACATATTTAGTGCGCGAAGTGTTCTACGAAGCCTCCATTTCTCACCCCCGACGGTGGTAGCATGAGTTTCTAAGCATCTGATAAAATAGAATCGATTGACGTTCATCGTTTTCAGCATACTTNGCTATATATCTCTCACTCTTTTTCTCGCTCTCTTTCTTTGTCTCTCTCTCTCTCTCTCTCTCTCTCTCTCTCTCTCTCTGACTGTCTCTCTCACTCGCTCTACCCTATCTACATTTCACCCTGACACGGTGTTGCGCTGTCCCCCAACACTTCCACCATCGCTTTCTACGTAGTACTTTCGAAAACGCAGTTTTTCTGCTGACTAAACTTGAAAATTTTTAGTCCTCCTTTATCTCCCCTTACTCGAAAGCTTCCTGCCTCCCCACCATACGTTTGTTTTCGTTTTCTTTTCTTCTACCTCTCTTTTTGTCTCCCACCCGTTCCACACTCATTTTGCCTACCCTTTTTCTTTGTCCCACTCGGTTCGCATACTCATTCTCCGCTTTCGTTATATACCACCTTTGATTTTTGATAAATGTCCTTCGTAAACAGTGGATGCACAGCGTGGCGATATGTTCCTTCCCTTCTTCCCTTCTTATACCATGCATACACGGGATGGTTTATTGGTACTGTTTGATTTGCACTGGTGCACCTGCGTTCTACCCTAGGGTTCTTTTTTTCGCTCTGATAACTGTCTCTCGCTGCCCTTTGTCCGTCGAGTACTTTATCCTCTATCACGCTCGCATCGAGATCGAAATCCGTGTATGACGGAAGCACATGTGTATGCGTAACACGGGTTTGTTTATATTCACTGTTTCATAATACGCTGGCGTCACTACTAATTTCATTGACCTAATGAAAAAGTAATACAAATAGGTTTGACAACGATGTTTCTGTGTGTTCTGTATATAGCTAACGAATTTTTCGACTTTTCGTTGTACAGTGTAAAAAAAAGACACGTTTAAAGCAAGCTTTATGATTTTAGTGACTTCGATATCGATTTCGTTGTGTTTCGTTGAGAAACAAATTAAGTAGGACGTTCCCTTTTGTTAGAAAGGACATCGGTGTTCGAGTTATTACGCATTAGATTTCACCGCTGCGTGAACAGTGTTTACAAATGGCATTAAAAGTTCGCACGCGTAATCCCGCAGGTACAAGTCGTAGGCGACAATCGCGATTTTCTTACCGCCCTATAAAGTCCGCACTCATAAATGCATAGAATTTTTCAAAAGTGGTTGGTAGTGGTGGCCTGCTCATGCATAAAAGTTGACAAACCCCCGTATAATGCTAATAGAAATCCTTTATCCGCAACTGTACTGTTTCATTCGCTATTGTACATAACAGATAACAACAGACCCGCTCTCAAATTATTAATAACGCCATTTTTGATCAAAGAAATGTTGAGAATTTTTTGTATACAATTTAACATTACCGAATGTTTTTATGCGATGTGAATAAGAGTTTTATGCGTCGTAGTCTCTCTTAAATATGAGCGAATACATATTTAGTGCGCGAAGTGTTCTACGAAGCCTCCATTTCTCACCCCCGACGGTGGTAGCATGAGTTTCTAAGCATCTGATAAAATAGAATCGATTGACGTTCATCGTTTTCAGCATACTTTCCGACCATTGTCATTGTTTCACCTTTCGATTGCTCGTTGCAATCGTCATCGTCTGTGCAATATTGTCTGATGCATTATCAGATAGAGTTGAGTCAATCATCGACACTCAACCGTGAGTCTTCAGGATGACAAAATAGGAGTTGCACAATCTTTTTCTTTATCTCAATATTAAAGCAAAGTATGGAACGTACAGGATGAAACTCGAATAAATTTCAGCGCCATTATCTTAACATTAAATGTTGATTACTTTTCCAAGTGTCGCCAGAGACCTGAAACTGGGTCGGTATGCTAACTAATTTATAAAGTATATTGAACACGACAACTAACAACACAATACGGCATGTGCGTTTTCGGTGCAATGTTGGCGAGACATATTTTAATCAAGTTTATTTTATTTGCCACTACAGAGCTAGAAAATAGAGTTTGGTAACAATAAATAAGTGTCCGCCCAATTGAATGGTATTTTAAGTAGATATTATTGGAATTTATACAAATACTGTCTTAATTAAATAATACGTCATTCGAATAGAATATGCCCAAGTAACGCTACGGTGTGATACTTGTAGAAAACCAAGAGTATATGTAGAAAACGAAGGTAATATCGAGAGAGTAACCAGCGGTATTCGAAGGACTCGTTTCATATGCAATCTTCAAATCCACAATTTCCATCGTGAAAAAAATAAGGAAAAAAAAAAGAATATCAAACGAGAAATAGAAAATAAAAGATAATCATCTCGGGTGTGCCTGATATCGATTGAAATTCAAACTAAATATTGTATCTCCTTTTTCGAACAGTGTTTCTTTGCAGATAATTATTCCGTGGTATTTCTTCCGACAAAATTCAAATTCTTCCTAGTGGTATCTAGAGTTCTCGGATCACCGTAGCTGGATCAATTTTGACCTGGTCTTCGGAAACCTTCATCAAACTTGGAACACATAGTCGTTATCTCGAGTAGGCGATTGTTTGTATTAGTTCTGATAAGGGATCGACGGACGTGAAAGAAGTACGCCCCGAAACGTACCCATAGAAACTGGTAGGGGTTTAAAGGGTCTCAGTCATCGTCGTCCGTGAAGTCGTACAGAAACGTCTGTCGTTCGTCGCTCAAAGGAGCGTTACATAATTGAAATAGGATCCGTCGATCGATAAAATGGGAATTTTTGGCCAGGATGTTTTTTTCGTGATTTCGGAGGACTGTGGGCGGACCCGCAGTATGGGAACCGCATCGACGATAACGCGGACGTCACGGCATTAGAACCACAACGTTCTCTCGGGTTCTCGTGTCAACACATTCCCGACGCCCACGACGAGTGACGCATGCGCTCTAACCGTCTTATCGCTCTTCCTTCTTCTTCCTCCTTCGGTCAACCCTCGATCCATCTCCTCTTCTCTGTCGCTGATTCACTTGCCTCGGTTCTCTCGCTCTCTTCTCTCTTCCTCTTCCTCTTCGCTCTCTGTGGGTGTCTCTTTCTCTCTGTCCCTCTCCCTCTTTTCCTCCCTGCCTCCCTCTCTTTCAACGTGCACACAAAGGCTCCCTTCTATTCCTTGGATACGCCCCTGGCTTTTGTACGAGCACCCTTCTCGCCAGCCAGGCCTCTGGAAATGTCTAATTCTCGCGGAGGGTGCATAGACAATGCGGATCGTTAAAACAATTTCGGACTTTACAGAATTCCTCCTCTTGCCTCGTAATAAGCGCGCATCGAAAAGTTGCAAAATTACGCCCACTCGCCCCGATACACCTATGTACATCCTTCCTTTTTTCTCTCTCTTCTTTCCCTTTTCACAGCTCGTGCTCCCCCCCCTTCGTCGTGGATCCACGAATCGGTACGGCCCTGCTGGCAAACCTAATCGTTCTTCCTCCCCTCCATTGCTGAGAGCGTAGTCGAGTCCCCTCCTTTTCCGCTCCCGCTACACACACCAATTTTCCAATTGATAAGGGTGCACAGTTGATACAGAGACTAACCCTATCCTTCCATCCTCTCTTTCGCTGTTACTCCCGCCTTTGTCCAGTCCCCTCTTTTACCGTGAAGTTAACATTGATAATATCGGTTTGTTTTTCGAAAGCACGCTGCGGAAGAGAGAGCAAGAGGGAAAAAGGAGAGAGAGAAAGAGAGAGCCAAGCCTCACGCCGAGGCGACTCGTAGTTTCGAATGGAAACGTTCTCCCGAGGAGAGCGTGAGAACTTCTCTCTCTCTGTAGAGATATTTACGAAGCAGCTTTTCATTTCTTTCTTTCTCTTTCTCTCTCTCTCTCTCTCTCTCTCTCTTTTTCTCTCTTATTCCCTCGATCTCTTACTTTCTCTCTTTCTCTCACACACTCTCTCCTTCTTCTAGGGTCGTTTCTTTTTTCCCTCGTGTTCGTCGATATCGGGAAACCGAGAGAAAAGTTCTTATTCGAAGCTCGGTATCGAGCGGAGATCTGGGTAAACGCAGAAGGGGAAACTTGTTCCTAGCGAGCAGCCGAGCTGTACGTTACGTAAAATTAACAATCATGTTCCGAAACTCACTTTCCCGTCTGGGATTTCGGGAGAGGGAAGCGGATGGCATGAGAACACTGTGAGTCGACGCTGGGACGCTCCGAGAAACGATACCCCAGGCCACGCAATGCCTGTCCTTTGACTCACGAGGGAAGTCTTTGGGATGAGCTGTTTCTCCTCTTATTTTTTAAATTGAACTCGACGCTGCACGCCCGATGAATATAAAGATATACCAGAATATTAACCGTTAATGTTTCATTATTTTCACCCCTTTGACTCCTTCAGCCATTTGCGAGTTGTATGTTTTTTTATGAGTTAGACGAGACACTCGAGTTTACTAGATTTTATTTTAGAATCAGTTTTACAAAATGTTTCAGGAATGACTACTCTTTCGGGAGGTCGTTGCACTCATTTTGATACTGTGTAGCACCGTTGAGTATATTATCTACTGTATTTTTCGTATACGTTTCAATGGAATTGTCTCATAAAAAAACGTATCAACCAGTAATACACTCTTTCATTTAATATAGTGTTTATAAGAAAATAAAAACCTTGCGCTATCTCAGTAGATACTCCTACTTTTCTTTACACCGTTCCGTCCACGGGAATAGGAAAGTTACTTCGAATTTAAATTATCTGACTAGCATATTAACAAGTTCGCCGCCATTTTGTCTGAGAACCGCTGTAGACCACCGTAGATTCCTAGCATTACATTTGATACGATGCATCTGTCTTGTTAACTAATCATGAAGAGAGAGAAATAAATAGTTGATACATGCTGAACGTTTCCAATCCAATCCAAATTTGTTATACACCTATTTCATGAACATCTCTTCCATCCCATGTCAATCAACGAATGCGAAATACATTTATAACTACTGTAATTAAACAAACTTTGTCTGTTGTCCACTTGCATATAACACTAATACCCGACCTAAATAAATGAAACAGCCTATACCAGCTACCAACAACAACCGCGTTCAGGAAAAGAGTTAGCATCTACTGATAGGTGTAGCCAGTGGAAACGGAGTTCGCGAATGATCGAGCAAGTCCACACGAGGAAGGAGACAGAAACCCTCGTCTCTTATAAAACACTTATGTAGAATAAGTTGAGCTTTGACTCGATGCATGACGCGTGTGACAGCTGCGCGCCGCAGCGTTGCCACGCGTCAACTTTGGCTTAACCAAACCAGCCAACTACACTGTCCGAGCGTGTGCATTCTGATTATCTTACGTTCGCGTATTGTCACAACACGGACGTCACACCGCCGACACGAATTCGCCTTAAACATGCCACCCCCCTTCCGCCCGATAAAATGCGACGCAACTTCGCCGATACGCGGTGTGATCGGAGTTAACAATGCTCGAGGATCCGCGCGATCTTCGTCCGTCCCTTTATAAACCCGAACGGAACTCCGTCGTGAACAGCAGAACCATCATGGTACCTCCCCTGCGTCGTGTTTCGAAGGTTCTTCTCGTCCATGTGTGTCCATGCGCCACGATCTGAAACCCCGGTGTTATTATTAGTTAATAAGTTCGTTAACTTTCCGACGACGAGACGCACATGCGTCTGCATTAGCTACGAAGGCAACGCGACGGCAATTGTAAATATTATTACGGTGAGGATAATGACCGTGTAATTTGGTATCATCGAGGAACCGGGCGTCGTGACGAATCCTCATTTTTTCGGTTCCTGTCGAGGGTCCCGATCCCATAAGCATTCTTTGTCCCTCGAAACAGCGTGAAGATGGTTTTTGTGCTTCCATTTGTGGGATGGTTAGTACCCGACGATGTTAACTGAATTGTCCTCGACGGCGTTCGAAGGGAAAACCGTGTAAACTGAGAACCATGGAGCATTGCTGGTGTTGGTCCGCACCCTAATATAGCATCACCTCTTAAATAAGACAACGTGAGAAATAATAACAAAGGTTTTGTACTATGACAACACACTATTGCCGATTTCACAAAAGTAGACGGGTCTGAAAGCTTACCCCGATACTTTCATAACACCCGGTACAGGGCGAGTGACCGTTTGTGCTTCACGAGGGTATCCAGCCTTGTGGAAAATGCTTCGTTCCACGTCGAAGTACCAGAACTTTGGCGTGTTTACTTACTCGCTCAGGGCTGTGCCAGCGGGGACCCAGTATGATCTTCAAGAACTGCGTGGGTACGGCCTTTCCCTGGTCTCGAAAGGAGGGGGACCGGATTCTCTCGCCCTCTCTCTCTCTCTCTCTCTCTCTCTCTCTCTCTCTCTCTCTCGTATCTCACTCGCAGTTTCTCATTCTTTCTCGTTGGTACGCTCGCTCAGTAGGTCCTACCTTTTTTTATTCGAAGATCCCTTCATGCTCGCGGCTTTAGCAACAGCACTCCCTCGCTTTAGGGTCGCCCCTATCTTCCTTCCTCTCGGCTACCCTTCACGATATTAAACCCTGTAGGACCCAGGGATGTATCAGATCCGTGCAAACGAAATGTTTTTCCTTGTCGTTGATCGATCGCCAATGCCTTCTTATCGACTAGCTAAAATGAGAAATCCTGTATTGTAGGAGCTCCTGCTCTAGATGTTCGAGTAAGTGAACCGTATTTCAAATGGAGATCATGCGAATTATCAGCGAGTATTATACCGTCTCACATTGTGCCTATTTCTGAACCAAAATGTTTTACATTATTACCATCAATGGTCAATAGGTTGCCTTTATTGTATAGACAGAAAAACTTTGGCGATCTGACCGTGTTTTACGTTGTGAAAGGAACTAAGAAACGTCGTTGAAAAATATGGAATAGTTTCTTATTTCATATTGACTGCAGCTTGTCATTATTTGTTCGATCGTGCAAACGTTAATATACGATTTTTAAAGCGCCGATTTATCATCCAATGAATGTCAGGTCAGGATGGATCAGTGTTCGTCGCTTCCGTTCGTCGGCCATTACTCGTCGCAGCTGTGAAAAAGGGATTGATAAGATTTAACGTTATTCCACACTTCTTTTTGTTTTATTACGTTTTACTATCTCTGTTTACGGACACAGAGGATTGTAATATTAAACACAGATACAGATATCGTTCGATTTACTATCTGTGAAGGTTATAGGATCGTTTGGAGTGCTTTGAGATTAAGTTGTAAAGCAACATTTTGTTTTTATTACAAACGACACGGAATCGCGTAGCCTTTGCACGTGAAATTAAGGTTTCCCCGTCACGGAATGATTAAAAACCACTCAAAGCCGACGAAGATATTGAAAAACTGTATCGCGGTTACGAAACGATCGTGCCGTTCCATNTACCCCGATACTTTCATAACACCCGGTACAGGGCGAGTGACCGTTTGTGCTTCACGAGGGTATCCAGCCTTGTGGAAAATGCTTCGTTCCACGTCGAAGTACCAGAACTTTGGCGTGTTTACTTACTCGCTCAGGGCTGTGCCAGCGGGGACCCAGTATGATCTTCAAGAACTGCGTGGGTACGGCCTTTCCCTGGTCTCGAAAGGAGGGGGACCGGATTCTCTCGCCCTCTCTCTCTCTCTCTCTCTCTCTCTCTCTCTCTCTCTCTCTCGTATCTCACTCGCAGTTTCTCATTCTTTCTCGTTGGTACGCTCGCTCAGTAGGTCCTACCTTTTTTTATTCGAAGATCCCTTCATGCTCGCGGCTTTAGCAACAGCACTCCCTCGCTTTAGGGTCGCCCCTATCTTCCTTCCTCTCGGCTACCCTTCACGATATTAAACCCTGTAGGACCCAGGGATGTATCAGATCCGTGCAAACGAAATGTTTTTCCTTGTCGTTGATCGATCGCCAATGCCTTCTTATCGACTAGCTAAAATGAGAAATCCTGTATTGTAGGAGCTCCTGCTCTAGATGTTCGAGTAAGTGAACCGTATTTCAAATGGAGATCATGCGAATTATCAGCGAGTATTATACCGTCTCACATTGTGCCTATTTCTGAACCAAAATGTTTTACATTATTACCATCAATGGTCAATAGGTTGCCTTTATTGTATAGACAGAAAAACTTTGGCGATCTGACCGTGTTTTACGTTGTGAAAGGAACTAAGAAACGTCGTTGAAAAATATGGAATAGTTTCTTATTTCATATTGACTGCAGCTTGTCATTATTTGTTCGATCGTGCAAACGTTAATATACGATTTTTAAAGCGCCGATTTATCATCCAATGAATGTCAGGTCAGGATGGATCAGTGTTCGTCGCTTCCGTTCGTCGGCCATTACTCGTCGCAGCTGTGAAAAAGGGATTGATAAGATTTAACGTTATTCCACACTTCTTTTTGTTTTATTACGTTTTACTATCTCTGTTTACGGACACAGAGGATTGTAATATTAAACACAGATACAGATATCGTTCGATTTACTATCTGTGAAGGTTATAGGATCGTTTGGAGTGCTTTGAGATTAAGTTGTAAAGCAACATTTTGTTTTTATTACAAACGACACGGAATCGCGTAGCCTTTGCACGTGAAATTAAGGTTTCCCCGTCACGGAATGATTAAAAACCACTCAAAGCCGACGAAGATATTGAAAAACTGTATCGCGGTTACGAAACGATCGTGCCGTTCCATCGAGTATCCGCGGTGCCTACTTTTCTCCCGGTAAGAATCATCATTTTTAATCGAGGGAACCGGCGAGCAAGATGTTTTGAATTATCAATTTCATACTACCTAACCTATATGCGCTACAACATAATAATAGTATCGATTCGAGTTCGATGTAAAAGTATAGTCGATGTATTACTACATAGACAACTTCTTGCTAAACACTTGCATTCTTTCTTGTGCAAGTTCAGTTGAGTTATTCAGAAAGTCTTCGCGAAGTAAGATACGCTACAAAATCAATCAAAGTTGTACTATAACTGAAATTTATTTAAAGAATTCCGTACGATGTGCCTATAGTTCGATCCAGAAATGTGTGTCAGTTTTCGCATCAACAAACTCCGATACAGGCGATCGCATGCATACTAAATGCTTTTCGGCACCCTGAATAGTTGAGCCTCGCTCGGGTATTCTTTATCCGGAACTTTTTAGCTAAATAATAAATTTACACATATCCGGTCGACAGTATACTTATCGACCTATCCGTAGGATAGGCGGCGCGGGCACCCGAGTCCCCGAGTACGTCCCTGTACCAAGCCCCCCACCGCAGCGGCCACTTCACTCCCCACCACGGGGCCACCTCCCCTTCCAGTCTAGCGAGCCGCGTTTCGTCTCAGTCTGTCGCGCGCCGCCAACGTGTGAGGTTGTGTCTTTTGGGTGTTACTGCGCACGCGGTGGTGGTTGTTTCACGTACGCTCTCGGGCGCACGCGTGTCTCGTGGTGTGTGTGCTTGTGTGCGCGTGCGTGCGTACATGCGTGTGTGCCTTCAACGGTGTCCACAGTGTGTACGTGCGTCTGATACTATCATCCTGGCCTCCGCTTTCGACCGTTCGCACACAGACACGGTGTGACATCGAGGCATGACAGCGACGCGGGAGTGTTACCCCATACGGTAGGAAAAACTCGGTTCTGGTCGTGCGTGACTTCCGAAACGTTTCTCGTACCAAGAAATTGATCTCCAAACGTATTACCGTGTGTTTCGAACTCGTGTTTTCGGTGCAACGGATACACTTGGCCACGAATGTTTTGTCCAAATCGATACGCCCTCCGGCGGGCATTTCGTATCTCGCGGAATGTACACCGGAAACGCTTGTCTTCGCCGTACGCATATACACAAGCCCGAAACCGTCTAAACAATAAACAGAGTGTGTATGCGTTAGGATCTGATAGGGTGTGTAGTACGCATTCTCCTTTTCTATGGTTATCTCACCGATCGTTTCGCTCTCGGCTCTCCGTGTTTCGCTAGCCTCAATGCTTCCACCGACTCATGCTCGTCACGCGTTCAGAGCTCACGAACAAACAGTCGTTTCTCGCTAGGGAAAACCGTGTGCCGAGGCCTCTATCGATAACTCGAACGATACGTCGAGCGCCAGCGATTCGGAGTATTTTTCCCCGTTGACGTGTGTGTCCGCCAGCGAATGTCTCCTCGTCGTTTCACCGAGGCCTTGGTGTGCCTAACGTTGCGATAAAAACGGTACGGAGAGCCATCGATTCGAAAGAAACGTCGTGTGTGTAAAGTCGACGTCACTCCAACGACAGCACGTCCGTTGATTTTTCTCTTGCGAACGGGAATCGTCGTTGCTTCAGGCCTGGCGTTACCTCGCTCGGAGTAGTGCCTCCGATACACCCAGTTATTTAAATTCGATTTATCGAACTATTCGGCCAGTCGGAATCGAGTGTCTCTCTGTTCGAGTGTTCGGACAACGGTATTTTTTTTGAACGTAACCGCCTCCTTTAGTACCGACGATCGGCGTGGATAACACTAGTGGACTTGGGCTGAGGAAAATTTCGAACGGTCGCGTGAGAAATCTCGAAGAACGATTTATTATTCTGTCAGATATCGCGACTTAAGTTTCAGTGATTAGGTACGTAGATACAACTACTTTCTTAGCATGCTTTCGATATAATTCGTGCAAGCACTGGTCTGCGCAATTTCAGGGTAGAAACCATAATAGGATTGCACAATTCGAATTCGTGATTTCAATTCGATTTAGAAGGAAACTTTGGTTATGTCGTTGTCATGTTTTATGACGAGCGTCTTACTCCGAAACTGTACTTAAATTACAGTCAATAAAATAAGAGAAATGTATAAATAAGCGACCAGATATACCGGTGTGCCGTAGGGTAGACAGTCCTGTTATAGAGTCGCTGGACGTGTTACTTGTTAGTCCTATTGCTAACGATAAGCGAAGTAAGAAATCGTGATTATGCGTGCACCCGCGTGACATAAGCTAAAGAGGTTATGTGTAGATTTTACTGGGTGTTTTTAGAGCTGCTTCCTGAAACGGTCGAAGATCATTTTTTTCTTTCTGCAACGGAGAAACATACACGGTGTCGCTAATTAATTCTGCGTAGAAAAATATTGCAACTATTGTACGGAAGAATAATGTAGTCAAATATCTCGATATTACATCGAAGTTCTGCGAGTTCACAGAATTTAAATTTCCTTCGTTCAGACTTACGTCACTGGACATTTTCATTTTATTCTTGATATATTAATTTATAACTTAGACGGTATGAGACAAAGTTGTGCAACTAGGTAGAAAAGATTGCAGACAAATGAAGTAGGAATAGGAGAGACTATTTTTACAAATGCATTAAATGAATAAATTTTAGATGGGATAAGGCAAAGTAGAGCAATCGAGCTAGAGGATGTTAGAATTGGGCAAAAAGTAATCTGATTAACGACTATAATTCGTTAGTTACTATTAATTACGATAAATTAGTGATAATAACTAACGGATTATAATCGTTAATTATCAGTCAGATTACATTTTGCTCAATTCTGGAGGATACAACCTAAAGACAAATGCATCAAACTAGGCTTTTAGGTACACGAACCGAATAAATTCCAAACAATTAAATAGGTTTGAAATATTGGAGGGGGGATTGGATGGCAAGAAATCGGTAAGAATTTGATAGAATTCTAATATCCGGTAGAGCCTATTCGAGGAGGGGCGCAAGGTGTGCATACAACGTGTCCCACTGTCTGTCTCTCCTTCTTTTTTCTTCGTGTCCGTTTTCCTTCCGCTGTTTCTCTATCCGTGCTTTGTCAGATAGTTCTTACTGACGATCCAGGGTTCGCCCATCCGGCTATCCACTGAGAGAAATGCGATACTGTCGTGATAAACAATGTGCTCCTCCTTCTTCCTGCTCTGTACCGCGCGTCGCCACGTTCGGGAACAGAATTTTTCAACCCTCTATTTCATTGTTCTCCTATAGAACGGGGATCAGAAGATTTCATGGCTGCTCCTCTTACCCCTGGGGATCTCGCTCTGGTATCGATTTATCGTAAAGTTTCGAGTTTGGATAGAAGGGGTTGGCGAGAGAGAGAAAGACTCGGCCAACGTAACGATTTTTAATTCCGTTTACCCTCGGACTAATTCGAATTATTTGTGACGAACGAGCGTTCACTTTTGTAGCATAGGCTGTTGCTACTTCACTTTTCGGCTCTTTCAATTAATTATCGGCATTTATCGCATTACAAACGTTAAACCGGAGCCTCGCGAAAAAGCATAAACAATTTGTGCGATCAAATTGGAGTCCGTTGGTCGAGGGTTAAATAGAGACGCTTGAATATTTTAGAGGGGGAGGGGCGATATTGAAGTTCCGATATGTTAATTGAGTTACTCAGAATACTATGATATTAATTAAG